TGCAGGCTGCGCAGCGCTGACCGCGGTGGGTGCCAGAAGGAAGGTTGCAGGCATGGCGCGCCCTTCCAGCACGGTAGCCCCGACTCGCACCACGCCAGCGACATCTCATGAAGCAGACGATGAGCCAGGTGCGGCTGCCGCCTGATGTAATGCTCGAAGGAAATTGAGTAGCCTCTCGCCCGTCAGGGGAAGGGGCTGTCTCTATTCATTGAGTCGCTGCACTCACACCCCTGCCGCAGGTGATTTCACGTCGCCCCTTCGGCAAGCAGCGGTGAATCCTGGCAGGGCCCAGCAGGGCCGGAGCGCTGAGCCCGCACAGCAGCAGCCACCCTCGCAGCAGCAGGAGCGAGGCGCTGAGCGCGCACAGCGGGGGGCGGCCGCGCAGCAGCAGGAGCAGACCGCTGAGCGCGCACAGCGGGGGGCGGCCGCGCAGCAGCAGGAGCAGACCGCTGAGCGCGCATAGCGGGGGGCGGCCGCGCAGCAGCAGGAGCAGACCGCTGAGCGTGCACAGCGGGGGGCGGCCGCGCAGCAGCAGGAGCGAGGCGCTGAGCCCGCACAGCGGGGGGCGGCCGCGCAGCAGCAGGCGACAATGGACGAAGAAGAAGTAAGCAACTCTATTGCGGCAGGCCCACAGGCGTACCCTCCAATTGATTATCAATTGTGCACTGGTTTGCAGGCGGGTACCGCTGCAGCTGTTGAAGAGGCGGAGCAGGAGGCGAGCGACTCCTCAGAGCTGCCAATCACACGGGTGCGGCGATGGTGCTGCTGGGCAGGCCAGCGGCAGCCTGTTGCTGGTGTCCACAGCTCAACCTCCACATGCTCGTTGATTGCGGGTGGCGTTTTTGTTTATTGCCATCACAGCTGTTTCCTTGTGCCGCAGCGGCTGAGCCAGAAGCGATCCCGCCAGCGACTGGATGACGACAGCGACGACGAGCCATCTACTGCAGCGGCCGTGGCAGCAAGCTACCCTGCAAACAAGCGGGCCCGTAGAACCCGCAACCCTACCGAGAAGATGGCAGAGAGCCTCCAGCAAGCTACACAGCTCAGGTGCGTGGTCCTCAACTAGCCCCCGCTGCCGTCGCTGCGCCCACCGGCCCACCCTCTCCAGCCCCTGTCTGCTGCTCTTCTGCCCCCATTCTTCCTGCTGTGCACTCCATGCAGCCCTGAGCAGACGAAGAACGCTGTGCAGCGGCGTGTTTTTGGGACAGGCGGGCTTATCAAGGAATGCCATGTAAGCCGTGGGCTGCTGTCGTGCTTTGTCCAATGCAATATGCAAAAACTGGCATCAATGCATGCATGTGCTTTTGACGATTCCTGTTGGGCTGCTGCTGTCAGGAGGGTGTGCTGAGGGACTTGATTGAGGCAGAGCACAGCCAGCGGTGGGACCCGGAGAAGCAGCAGCTGCGGCTCCCAAAGACGTCGGCAGGCGAGGTGGGCTACGCCGATGCGGTGTGCAA